GAGGCAGACATCTTGCACGGGGGTTAAGGTGCCACCTGCATCCCGTATCAGAGAGCCCAGGTTCAAGTCCCAGCTCTGCTCCCGAATCCAGCTTCCCAGCAATGCACACCCTGTGAGGCAGTGGTGATGGCTCAAGTCGCTGGGTCCTTGCTTTGTTAAGTGGGAGACCCGCTGGAGGTCCTGGCTCCGGCTGCAACCTGGCCCAGCCCTGGCTGTTGCAGGCATTGTGGGGAAGTAAACTAGCACATGGGAGTTCTGTCTCTCCTCTGTCTCTTTGCCTTTCACTACCCTAAATGAACAAATAAATAAGAATTTAAAAGGATGCTCTCGGATGCGGGTCCCACGCTACGATGAGCTCGGATCAGCTTGGGACACCTGCCTTCCGCAGCTCTGGTGCACTGAGCACTGTGGCCCCAGGCTGTGTTCTGTCCCCAGAGGACAGAAAGCCTGGCCACAGGACACTTCGTAGCCTTCTTCAGCATCCCAGTGGCCTTGTCATTTTTAAATTATAATTCAAAAATGATAGTAAGGGGTCCGGCACTGTGGCATAGCTGGTAAAGCCACCGCCTGCAGCACTGGCATCCCATATGGACGCTGGTTCAGGTCCCAGCTGCTCCATTTCTGATCCAGCTCCCTGCTAATAGCCTGGGAAAGCAGCGGAAGATGGCTTAAGTGCTTGGGCCCCTGCACCCATGTGGGAGACCCAGAAGAAACTCCTGGCTCCCGGCTTCAGCCTGGCCCAACCCCAACCATTGCAGCCATTTGGTAAGTGAACCAGTGGATGGAAGATCTCTCTCTGTCTATTGTTTAAATAAATAAAAAAATCAATTTTTTTAAAAAAGGGTTAACGGGTTCTAGTCCTGGTTGGGGCGCTGGATTCTGTCCCGTTGCCCCTCTTCCAGGCCAGCTCTGCTGTGGCCCGGGAGTGCAGTGGAGGATGGCCCAAGTGCTTGGGCCCTGCACCCCATGGGAGACCAAGAGGAAGCACCTGGCTCCTGGCTTCAGATCAGCACAGTGCCTGTTGTAGCGGCCATTGGAGGGTGAACCAACGGCAAAGGAAGACCTTTCTCTCTGTCTCTCTCTCACTGTCCACTCTGCCTGTCAAAAAAAAAAAAGTTCTTTGGTGAATTAAAGGGCAGGTGGTGGAGGCCTGGCTGAAAACCAGAGAGAGAGAGAGAGAGAGAGAGACAACTGGACATCACAGGAAGACTGCAGGAGAGATCTGTCTGCCGAAGCGCCCCCAAGTAAGCACTCTGGAGACATGAGGGCTACCGTGCACCAGAGAGCCTCCGAGACAGGAGAGGAGGTGGGAAAGATAAAAGAAAGAAAGCTGTCCAGTGGAGCTCGGAGGGCTGTTGTGTGTCTGAGCTCTGAGCGCTGGGCTGTGGCTTGAACCAGCTGATTCCTGCTACTCACTCCATGGAATTCAGTCCGGATGAGGGCCGCCTGCCATTGTTTTCAGCTCACCAAAGTCAAATCATATTGTGGCTTCCTCCCCCTGCTTGGAGTGGGGTCCGGGGTTGCTGTGGCATAGCGGGTAAAGTTGCCGCCTGCAGTGCTGGCATCCCAAGTGGGTGCCGGTTCGAGTCCTGGCAGCTCCACTTCCCACCCTGTTCTCTGCTGTGGCCTGGGAAAGCAGGAGAAGATGGCCCAGGTCCTTGGGCCCCTGCACCCACGTGGGAGACCTGGATGGAGTTCCAGGTTTAGGCACTTTGGGGAGTGGATTGTGGCCATTTGGGGAGCGAACCAGCAGATGGAAGGTCACTGTCTTTAACTCTGCCTTTCAAATAAATAAATCTTGAGAAAAAGAATATGGCTCGGATGAAAATGCCTCCATCACTCGACAACAGGACTGGCTTAACACCTCTTCGATGTGTGCTGGAGAACTGACTGACAGCAGCCCTGTCAGGGAACTGCCACAATGATTCCATTTCACAGACGGGAAAACAGAGACTCAGCAAGACTGTGCCGGAGGTCAGACAGCCAGAGAGGGGCAGAGCCTGGCTTCAGGGATCCAAATTCCCCACCCAGTACCCAACCCCATAGGTGGCAATTGTTTGCATTTTCCCTATTAGCTTCAAGTCCTCTTGCAACTTACGAAGGAAACAAAAGGAGCACACAGAGTCTCAATGCCTGTGCCACTCCCCCGACCCACGAAGGGAGCCCCCTCGCGTTCCTTCTCTGACGCTTCTACACATGCGCCCAGCACCCTGGCCCGCCCACGTTTCAGACAAGTGCATAAGCAACTCTGTCCCCCCGGGGATGGGTTGGGGCTTGCTTTTCCCCTCCGATCGGCTTCCAACGCCGCCAGCGCTGCCTGTGCTGATGCCGCGTCTACACCAGCCAGGGCGGGAGCACCACTGCACTTGGAGTGTGGCTGGTTTCAGTGCAAATGTCCTGTGATCATAAAACACACGCTGGGGGCTGGTGTTGAGGCTTAGCCAGTAAAGCCGCCACTTGGGTGTGATGCCAGCATCCCATACTGCACCTGCTGTCTTACTGATTTTTCATAGCGCTTTTGAAGCCCGTTGTGTGTGTGTGTGTGTTTTAAATTTATTTATCTGAAAGGCAGAGTTTACAGAGAGAGAGGGAGAGACAGAGAGGTCTTCCAAACTCTGGTTCACTCCCCAGTGGCCACAACAGCCGGAGCTGCGCTGATCTGAAGCCAGGAGCCAGGAGCTTCTTCCAGGTCTCCCACATGGAGACCTTTTTGCTGGCAGCATAAAACGCTAAATGAAATGCCTCACATGTGTTTCAGCCACCCCCCCCCCCCGCCCCGCTGTAGCAGAAACTCACAGTTCTGGGAGCCAGAAAGTCCAAGACCCGTGGTGGAGGCAGGGCGGGCACACCTGCTGGTGGCTTCTTGCTGTGTCCTAACACAGCAGAAGGGTGTAGAAAAGGGTGCCACTATGGCAAGAGAGAGCTGAACTCAGTTTGTAACAGACACTCCCTCCTTCCACGTGCCTTGATCACAAACCCTCTCCCAGGCCCAACCAGCTCTTCAAGGTCCCATCCCCCCCCCCCCACCACGTGTTCCATGGCTACTCAGAGAGAGGCTGAGCCACCGTCCACACACACACCTGAAGGAAGCCAAGCTGGGACAGAAGTCAGGCTGGCCAGCTCCAAAGCCTGCCCTTGTAACCAGAAACCTGGCAGGACGGGACCCAGGAGAAACAGCACAAAGCTGCTCAAGGGGCCGGCGTTGTGGCATAGCGGGTGAAGCTGTCTCCTGCGGTGCCGGCATCTCATATGGGTTCCAGTCCCGGCTGCTCCATTTCCATCCAGCTCTCTGCTGTGGCCTGGGAAAGCAGTGGAGGACGGCCCAAGTCCTTGGGCCCTGCACCTGCATGGGAGACCAGGAAGAAGCTCCTGGCTCCTGGCTTTGGATCTGCTCAGCTCTGGGCTTTGTGGCCATTTGGGGAGTGAACCAGCAGGTGGAAGATTCTCTCTCTCTCTCTTTCTCTCTTGCTGGCTCTACCTCTTCCTCTAACTCTGTCTTTCAAATAAATAAAATAATCCTTTAAAAAAATCTGCTTACGTCATCAGTGCAGCTGAGGCTGGCCACGTCTCTGACAAAACAGCCGCCTTACATATTCATGAAGCAGCTGCCTTTGCTGACGTTTACCAGGATGAGTATTAAACAGATGCGTATTTTTGTGGCAATGTTGGGCTTCCTGAAAGCAGCCCAGGCAGGATTTTTCTGACATATGCTTGCAGCATTACAAAACTTTACTCTTTGTCACTAATTATATGAACTATTTTTAGGGCAAATTGTCAATACCCAGTATTTGCTCATGCTTCTTACATTTTCAATTTGTGGGTTTTTTTGTTTGTTTTTTAGCCATATCTATTTATACCTGATTTTTTTTTCTTTTTAAAGGACGTTCTCATTATGATGCCAATGACAAATTCGGGGCTTGTGATCAAACACGCTGGGAGGGGAAAAAAAATGACGCACGTTGCCATGGGGATATTATTGATGACTATTAGATTGCTTTTCAAATTCTGAATAGAAAGCCACGTTAACATTTTGAATCATAAAGTTACAAAACTAGCAGAAGCCTGAGGAACCTGGCTGAGACCACAGGTTTGGCGTTAGGCAAACTGGGTGACCCTAGACCCACACCCATTGTTAAGTCTCAGTTACTTTGTCTTTAAAATGGGGATGCTTTGGAGTTGGCGTCCTAGCGCCGTGGGTTAGGCCAGAGCTTGGGACACCTGCCACCCACACTAGAGAGTTGTTTCAGGTCCCGGCTGCTCTGCGTCCCATCCAGCTCTCTGCGGGACACCTGCCCCCCACACTAGAGAATTGTTTCAGGTCCCGGCTGCTCTGCCCAGCTCCCTGCTAATGAGCCTGGGAGGCAGCAGATGATGGCCCAGGTGCTTGGGCCCCTGCCACCCACGTGGGAGTCCTGGATGGAGTTCCTAGCTCCTGGCTTCAGCCTGGCCCAGCCACAGTTGTTGGAGGCATTGGGAGAGAGAAGTATCCGAGAAAAGATTTCCACGTGTCTATCACTTTGCCTTTCAAATAAAAATAAATTTAAAAATGTTGAACAGTTGTTTTAAAAAAATAAAATAGCGGGTCGAAGCCATGGTGCTGTGGGTTAAGTCGCGGCCTGCAGCGCCGGCATCCCATATGGGCGCCAGTTTGAGACTCGGCTGCTCCACTTCCCACCCAGCTCTCTGCTAAAGGCCTGGGAAAAGCAGCAGCAGATGGCCCAAGTACTTGGGCCCCTGCACCCGCGTGAAAACCCTGAACGAAGCTCCTGGCTCCTGGGTTGGCCCTGGCCCAGCCCTGGCCGTTGAGGTCATTTGAGCTAAATCGCTTATTTCTGACTAATTTACCTAACTAGACTCGCAACCAAATCCAGCCTACACCACCCCGCCCACCGCATGTCGCCTAGCAACAACCTCCTCCCCTCACGCCTGCGCTTTTACCCCGCCCCCTGCTCAGGGCGCATGCTCAGATCCTTGCGTCCGGCCCCGCCCCTGCGGGGCGCTCGGCAGTGACGTGTAGAGTCCGCGACGCTCCCGGCGAGCCGAGCCGGTGAAGTGGGGGAGTCGGCTCGCTGGACCGAGCCCCGGGGCCATGGCCTCGGCCGGGGTGGCCGCTGGGCGACAGGCCGAGGATGCGTTACCGCCACCGGCCGACCCGCCGCTGACCGAGACCAAGCCGTTGCCGCCGCCGCAGCTGCCGCCACCGGTGGCCGCGCCCCAGCCGCAGCAGTCGCCGGCGCCCCGCCCCCAGAGCCCCGCCAGCATGAAGGAGGAGGAGAACTACTCCTTCCTGCCGTTGGTTCACAACATCATCAAATGGTAAGGAAGGGCCCGGAAGAGGGGGCGGCACCGCCGCCGCTGGCGCTGGCGCTAGGAGGCTGCAAGGGTGCGTCCCCATTTCTCGGGCGGGCAGGCCGAGGCCAGGGGGCGGGCAGGGGCCTCTCCCGAGAGCTCGCGGAGCCTGTCCGGACGCGTGGGGGCGCCGGGGGTCGCCGTGCTCTACGCGGGGGACACCTGCTCCGAGCTGGCCGGCACAGGTGGCCGGGGGCCCCGGGAGCCTGGGCAGCGTCCCTGAGGCTCCGTAGGGTTAAGACGCGCTCTGGTTTTCTCCTCGTCTTCAGCACATCCCGCAGAGAAACATCGTCGGGACTGCATAGTGTTCTGCTAGGCGTTACGGGGTGCGCACGGTAAAAGGGGCCGACTGCGGGCCGGCCTTGTGGCGTAGCAGGTAAAGCCGTCGCCTGCAGCGCCAGCATCCCGAATGTCGCCAGTTCGAGTCCCGGCTGCTCCACTTCCGGTCCAGCTCTCTGCTGTGGCCTGGGAAAGCAGTAGAAGATGGCCCAAGTCCTTGGGCCCCTGCACCCGTGTGGGAGACCTGGAAGAGGCTCCTGGCTCCTGGCTTTGTTCGCGCTATTTAGGGAGTGAACCAGCAGATAGAAGATCTCTCTCTGTTACCCATAATTATGTTATCCATAATCCATACAGATTGAGCCTGCAGGCCTGAGATGGCCTGCAGAGACACAGAAATCGCCCCCACCGGGCCTGGACTAACTTGATCCCAGCCTACCTTGAAAGGAGATGGCCGTGCTGTTGGCCAGCCCTCAGGGGAGCCCAAGCTTTCGGACAGACAGGCTCTGGAAAGGAAAAAACAAAAACAGACAAGAAACCAAAGTCCCCCCCGTTCCACGCTTGCCTGAGTGAGTGCGCCGCTGGCGCTGACGTCACGGAGTGGTGCCTGGGAGAGTGAGGAGGTGCAGCCGAGGCATCGGCCGCTTGCTGCAGGCAGACACGTCCCAACGGGACATGCGTGGTGTTTGGCCTTTCGTGGAAGTAGGAGGAGTACGTTCTGAAACAGCAGTGAGAGGTATAGGACAGCCAATACGAGGATTGTTTTGAAAGTTCACGGAAAAGTGCGTATTATGGAAAGATGTGTATGGGTTTCATTTTATTTTTCAGGGATTGGTTTTACTTACTTGAAAGGCAAAGTGATAGGGAGGCAGAGAGAGACAGATCTTCCATCTGTTGGTTCACTGCCCAAATGGCCACAACGGCCGGCCTGGGCCAGGCTGAAGCCAGGAGCCTGGAACTCCATCCGGGTCTCCCACGTGGGCGACAGGGGCCCCAAGCACTTGGGCCATCCCGGCTGCTTTCCCAGGCACATTAGCAGGGAACTGAATTGGAAATGGAGCAGCGGGGACTTGAGTAGGTCCTCATGTGGGATGCCAGCATCAACGACTTGTGCCACAATGCTGGCCCCTGAACCAAAATTTCTAGTTCCATTTTTCCAGTAACTTTTTTTTTTTTTTTAAATTTATTTGAAAGGCAGAATTACAGAGAGGCAGAGAGAGAGAGACCTTCCACCCAATGATTCACTCCCCAAATGGCTGCAACAGCAGGAGCTGTGCCAATCTGAAGCCAGAAGCCAGGAGCTTCTTCCGGGTCTCCCAAGCAGGCAGGGGCCCAAGGACCTGGGCCATCTTCTACTGCTTTCCCAGGCCATGGCAGAGAGCTGGATTGGAAGTGGAGCAGCCGGGACTAGAACCAGCACCCATATGAAATGCCGGTACTGCAGGCGGTGGCTTTACCCACTACGCCATAGCGCCAGCCCCGCAGTAACTTTTTGAAGTTCCCTGTATGAGAACTGGCAGTGCAGTCGGTTTCTTTCCGTCGGAGTCACCACAAACAAGGTTGTTTTCAGCCCCGTTTTAATCTCATGCCACCATTCGTCGTGTGTGTAGTCTGTTGTTGGCTGACTCACGACTCGGTGCTAGATGTAAACCCCCAGGCTTGCCACTCGAGCTCAACCATTTAAAACCAAAGCAAGCTAAACTTGACACCACCACCATTGCGGGGGCGTTCAGGTTGAAGGTTGATGGGCTTGCCGATGCTGTGCTGAGATGGAGTCGCTGCTGACAACGTGGACTTTTTTTTTCTTTTAAAGATGTATTTATTTGGAAAGAGTTACAGGTCCGGTGTTACCTGCAGTGCTGCCTTCCCATATAGGCACCGGGTCGAGTCCTGGCTGCTCCACTTCGAATCCAGCTCCCTGCTAATGGCCTGGGAAAGGCAGCAGAAGATGGCTCGAGTGTTTGGACCCTGCTACCCATGTGGGAGACCCAGAAGAAGCTCCTGGCTTTCACCTGACCCAGCCCTAGCTGTTACAGCCGTTTGGGGACTGAACCAGCGGGTGCAAGATCTCTCGCTCTGTCTCCTCTCTAAGTTTGACTTTAATTAATGAATAAATCTTAAAAATTTTTTTTTTTAAAAAAGGAGTTACAGTGAGAATAAGAGACAGAGAGATCTTACATGTGCAGGTTCAGTCCCCAGATGGCCAAAACAACGGGCCTGGGCCTGGCAGGATCTAGGAGCTTCATCCTGTTCTCCCACGTTGGTGGCAGGGACCCAAGGACTTGGACCATCTTTTCGCTTCATTTCCTAAGCCATTAGAAGGAGCTGGACTGGAATTGGAGCAGCTGGGACACAAACTGGCACCCATCACAGGCAGTGGCTTCACCCACGGCACCCCAATGCCGACCCCCAGCGTGAGCATCTCGACTGGTAATGGCCCAGCTCTCTGGAGAGACTTGCGGGCTGCGGACGGCCTGGACGCCTTTGTTCTCCCATTAGACCCGCCTTCCTTTGGCTTCCCTACGTTCGTGCTGCCCTGTGATCTCAAGTGACACTTCAGGGCCACCCAGTGCAGTCCCGGAGGCGCGTAGAATTATAAAGGATTAACCCAGAATACGCTGGTTTTGGGAAAAATGGAAACAGAACATTCACAGTGACAAGGACAGCTGTTGGGCTCCCCAGCGGTTTATCCGTGGACCCCAGCAGAGCAGCTGGGCTGGGGTGGCCCCAGCAGCAGTCAAGAGACAGCGGGCCTTGCCGCGCGACAGGCCTGGGTTGGGCTCAGATCCGGGTGCCGGTGCTGGCTCGCGTTCTCATCTGTGTGGGTGCTGGCGCTCTCCCAGGTGCAGGTGTCTCGTCTCATAGGTGGGTGATGCACCCCAGGCGATGGGCCCAGACTGCAGCTTTGCAACATACCGGCTGGGTGATGTTGGGTGAGTGGGCCTCGTTTTCTCTTGAGATGGGAACCACAAGATTGTAGTGGGGACACTGAGAGCTGTGAGAGATGACAGGTGTGTCCCACGGCTCTGGCTCTGTTCCCCCTAAGGGGACAGTGAAGTTGTTTGTTTTTTAAAACATAGAACCAAAAAAAAACAGGACAAGAGATGAGTGGTTGCCACAAAGCAGAGGGCCACACGCTGACCCCTGCCAGCCACCGTGGACCAGGGGCTCCCCTGACCCTCAGCGACCTCTGGGAATAAGGGTGAAGGCGAGGGTAAGAACGGGAGGTTACTGCAAAGCCTAAGAGGGGACCGCCTTCAGCTGCCTTGGCAGGCGATTAGAGGACTCCTCTGCGCCCAGGATTGTTCCTGGGGAGGAGTGAGTCAAAGAGTGGGCTGAGGGGCAGCAGGTGCATTGCCGGACCAGGTCCAGGGAGCCGTAATGAAAGCGGATTCAGAGAAGGTTCGTGGCTCACAGCCTGCAGAGGGAGACCCCAGCCGGCCGCCTCACGCCACCTGCTGCTGGACTGGCACCAGAGGGGACAGAGGTGTGTGGCCAGCCCGAGAGAAAAGGCATTGGAAAGAAAAAGACGTCCTTTCTCCCAAGAAAGAGCCCAGTCGGTTCGTTCTGAGAAAGGGAGACAGCGACTCACGCCTTTGAATCCGTGCTGGGCCGCTGAGTGTAGATAGACAAGCCGTACAGAAAGACAGCCCCGACAGAGAGCAGGAGAGCCCCCGGAGGAGCCGTGTGAGCGGAGCTGGGCGCCCACATCTGGGCGAGGATGGGCTAGGTGGCAGTCAGGGCCCGCGGCGTAGGCGTGTTTCCTTCCCTAGGCTCTGGAGGGGAGCAGAGGGGAGCAGGAGCCCTGGCGCAGGGCTGGCACTGAGCAGTCTGAATCAGGCGGGGGACAAGGGGGAAGGGCCCAGGTAAGGAGCTGAGGCCACAAAGTGGCCTGGCCATGGGCTCCGCTCTCAGTTTGGTGGAAGGGGAGAGCTGGCAAGCGGGGAGGAGGCAGCAGTGGGGGCAGCATGTCCCCCCCAACCCCCGCGCAGCGAGATTTTGTACCCTGAGGGTTGATGAGCTATGGAGATACACGCTGGGGGCCAGGTGGGGTGAGGGGGTGAGGGTGAGGCCCGGCCCAGCCGTCCAGGGAAGCGCTTGCAGGCCCTTGGTCTGTTCTGCGCCGCCACGTCCCTCTGGCCTTGACTGTTAACCTTCGCTCAGGGCAGCAGCAGGAGAGTGGACCCTGAGACGGTGTGTGCCGCCTCTCTTGCCCTTGTAGAAGGAGTTGGAGTGTGACACGCTTGGCTTCTTTAAACTGTTTAGGGAAAGTAACTTGCAAATTGGGCAGTGTAGAAAGGTGTCAGACGAGGAGTGCCTGGGCCCACATCCTCTCACCGAGGGTCACCTGCTGCTCCTTCTCGAATTTTCTGGGCAGCTTTTCAGAACTTGCCCACAGGTGGAGAACAGGCTGCGTCCGGTGCTGGCAGCGCTGAGGGGTGTGTTCTGGACAGCTTTCCCTGTCACACACAAAGGTTCGTCTCTCAGGGCCCCCGCAGGAGCCCCGGGGGGCTTCTGTGGGGCACCCTGCTCTGTTCTCCTGCTAGTCCCCGCCACGCTGGGGCAGGCGTCCAAGCCCATGCTGAGGGGCAGCGCTGGGCGCAGGGTCCACACGTGTGTATTTTGATAACCTGGCGCTGAATGTCGAGCACCCCATCTTTTTAGCCAACACCCCATCTTTTTAGCCTGCC